AGCTCTATCTTTATCAATATCTCTCTCGTTTGTTACTTTGCCATTATTTTGCTGTTACCGAGGCTGTTACCGAGGCTGTTACCGTTGTGGCTTAATAGAATAGTTTAATACAACTAATGCACTATTGTTAAACTCAATAGTTGCAATATGTTTATATTAAAAAATTGTTGTCCACTGAAGAACAACCGAAATTTCGGATTTTGAAAATTGATTTGACTACGCGCCCTACTCAGGATGGAAGTTATCTTAAGTTTTCCCTTATACGAGCTGCCTCAACTTCTGTTTAAGTGATTTCTCTTGTCCGTTGGGAGAAATCAATTGGACAGACTGCTGTGTACCACCTTATTGACACAGGCTTGTTAGCAGGAGTTAGAGTCGGGTGGTTCTTTGGGAATAACGGTGCTTTCAATGGAAAGGGACGAAAAGGCCATTCTTGAGATAATTGCATTCCTAGGTGTGTTCGTCCGTACACTGACTTCTTTTTCTATCCCTTCTTGATTGAGCCTTTTTACGGATAACTTGTATATGGCGGCTGATCCCCGATATATGCAAGGGATGAAAAGTCTCTTTTACTTCCTCTATGAAACTCCGCCCAGAACTAAATACTTTACGTATAAATTGGCGTTTCATCTTTTCACTGCATGGGGTCTTTTCCTGTGTAGTTTTTTTTTTGTATCGTTTCTCTTCTTAATGTTTAAAAAACCGCATTTTCAATAGTATCACCATTTCCGTTGAGGTGGCATAGAGCTTTTGAAAGGATTCCTACCATACGAGAATTAGGACCACCAGAAGTCGATACGTGTGCCCCATGTTGGACGCCATATTATGGGCCTTTTGTTAATTCATGAACAAAAGGGATTACAATTAATCAAACTAATCTGATGATTTCTGGAAAAGTAGTTACCTTTGGATCATGGTTTTCCGAAATCTGTCCAGCCGAATTTGATCACCTAATTTTAGATAAGTATTATTGAACCATTGAAATCTATTCAAATTTTATTAATTATTAGAAATAACCGACGCACGAAATGGAAACCAAAACACCGAAAAAACATCCCAATATAATATGTAGGAAGTAACATCCAATACCAGTACAGGGTCTTTCCCCATATATTGACCCCACCATTACCGGGGTTATGTGAAGAGATATCAAAAAATTGTAGATACAAAAGTCCTGGAGTTTTACCTGTAATATTTGAAACCGCTGTCAAAAACTTTTTTGTTTTTTTTAGAAATGTTAAATTTTTACAGATGGCAGTTTTTTCTTATGGAACACCCTATATATGACTTTATGGTTGAAAAGGGTCAATTTTTCTTATTCCAAAAATATATAGTTTAACTACTTTTAATTGAGCCGTTTTGAAAATATCGGGGTCTAAACTTCAAGAAAATAATACATTGAAACACATAAGCTCTGTTTCAATCAACATGAGAACAGTTCTTGAACGATAATTTCCAGTTGCCCACCTATTCTTCAATAAGTTGAACGTTTATCCTGATTGACAAATAAATTGAGCGACTGGAAATTACCGTTCTAGAACGGTTCTCATGTCGGTTGGAACAGAGATGGATGTGTTTCAATGTATTACTTTCTTGAGATTTAGAGCCCGATATTTCCAAAACGGCTTAAATAAAAGTAATTAAACCATATATATTTATATAATATATAAAGTCATATATATGGTATTCCATAAGAAAAAACTGACCATCTGCGAAAATTTGACATTTCTAAAAAAACAAAATAGTTTTTGACTTCGGATTCAAAAATGTCAGGGAAAACCCCAAAACTTTTGTATTTATTTAAAAAAAATTGATATCTCTCCACATAACCCCTGTATGGGGATGTCAATACATGGGGAAAGACCCTGTACATTGCCAGATTGATAAGACATTAGAATTACCAAATCAGTAGAAAACAATCAAATTGAGCATAGTTGGTTTACATGAAGTCGCACGAAACGAAGAAAACCAGATTACAATAAGATCTGAAAATGATGGTAACAGGATAAGAAACAAAGGAGAGATTAGGTAAAAAATCGAAACATTCCACTATTCCACAGAGAGTTATATTTGATGTAAAATAAAAATACCCACAATGATATCACAAAAGTCTCGACAAAAGTATTAACCAAGGTTTCGAAGAAATACTTAATATAACAAAGCAAGAAATTAGAATGGCATTCAGAGACATGAAGGAAATCAAGGCTCCTGAAGAGGATGAAATGATGGAAAGTATCAAAATGGACGAACAACACATCAATAAATTCCTGATAATAGGCTCCTTGCATCAATTTTTTTTATTGCTGATTTCGATAGTCCATGAAAAATAAGTAAAAATTGACGGAGATACAACACTATGAAATCTGCCTATGACGTCACTTATCTAATAAATTAGTGACGTTGCACATGCTCAGTATATCTATATATACAAAACTTAATATTTGAATAACTTCCAGAATAATCATATTTGGGCGAAATAAAAAAAAGTAACGATTTTTTTTCGATTTCCTATAGTTTGCAATAAGCAATAATCAATTTAATTTTCCATGCAAGTACCTTATTCTTTTTATTGAATGCGTGCTAGAAGCATCTCCAAAACAATAAGAACAAGCAATAATTATCGTTAGCTATACAGAGAAAGAGAGAAAACACAGAAAAAGAAAAATATCGAATACATGAAACCAATTTAGGGTTGGTTGCATGCATTTATAGATAAATGTTATAGAGGCTTTTTGTAAAATGCTGACATTGAGAGGACGTCCAGTTAAATTTGCCAACATACTCCCTTTCCTGCATTAATACATGAATGGTTAGGCTAAGAAGACTGAGAGCACCAAGACTGGTCCCAAAGAAACCCTTAAAATCACAACTGGAGTATAACTCTTGAGATCACGATCGCTATAAGCCTATCCTTAATATTATTTGTAGAAACATCACTTTTCAAAAAATCTGCATAAATGTTGAAATTACTTTTGAAACTGATGGTAAGGTACAGCAGACTTCGAGCCATAACATTGTTCTAGAGCTTAACACGGACAAAATAAAAATGCTATACCAACCTGCCTCAAATACTAATGCACCAGCGCAGTATTTCGCAATGTCATCGTCATGCCAACACTTCTTTACGAAAGTGGTAGTCCTGGATCACCTACACCTGAAGTGCTTGGGAGAATAAACTGACAGGATCGCCGAGCTAACACAAAGATCATCGATCCAACATCATCGCTGGGGTGGTCATGTCGTTCGTATGCCAGATTTACATTGTCCTAAGCAAATTATGTATTTTTAACTGGAGAATGGCCAACACAGTCTGGGTAGGTAATGTAAACGATACAAAGATGTCCTCAAGACAAACACGGCAACGTCTCACATCGAAGTGGGTGGAGGATGCGGAGGACAAACGGAACCGTAGAACAGAAAAGGAACGTCTGATAAGACAGATGTGGGAGAAGTTGTGGGTCCATAATAGCCATCAAACAAGAGATAATAGTGCTGTCAAGAGTATTATTCAACTCGCTAGCGAGTGAATGCGTATGATAATGATGATATATACAAAGTTCTGTATTTTGGATGTAATGGTTTATTCACCTCTTGCATGCAGTGATTTAGAATGAAAACAGATGTCTGACATAATATTTAGATTGCGCATGTCAATTACTTACGAAAGAATTTTTCATAGGAGAATTTTATATCTTAGTTCAACATCAGTGAATCCAGATAATGAAAATCAGCCGATCAAAATGCACCACAAAATTTTATAAGTGGACGATGTTTTCTTTTTATTTCTATTACACCTCCGAGGCTTTATTATATCGACTAAAGTAGAGTCAAGAAGGCAGAGGATTTAGGACGTATAGTGTATAACACCTTACCCAAATTTGAAAATTAAAATGATTTGATTCATTTACAATATCAATAAACGTTCTATGAAACCAAAAAAGTCCTGAAATAATTGCATATTATGTCCTAAATCTAAAGATTTCTTCTATTATTAAAATCCTTAGTTTTTCTCTTAATTAGCAGATGAGCCAAGGAATCAGTGACTAAGATAAATCAGGAGTTTAATTGGTAATCAAGGCTTGTAACTAACTCTCATTTGTTAACGACTCAGATCGTTAACGATACGTTATTGTGTCGTTAGTGTACGACGGATTTACAGTCTTAATCAGCCAATTTTGTGGCCGGCTATGGTTGTTTGGGTAAAGAAGGTAAATTTCAGGGTGCAGAAGGGCCAGACACATTTAAAGGTCGTGTTTAAATGAAACCTCCTCGCCACCCTCGCTCTGTGTTTTTTGCTGAAAGTCGATAACGATATTTTATGACGTCCAATTAATACCCAAAAGAAAGTTTTAAGGCAACTTTTGTTTGAAAAAGTTTCGTCATGAAAAATACATTTTGCGATTGTTAACGAATCGAAAAGAGAATTCAAATAAAATCTAATGTCGATGGCGATTTGTAATTAACGAGCTTATAGTTAACTTTTATTCTTTTTCGAGACAACTCTTTTTAGTTACGTACTTCTTCTAGTCAATAACACATAAAATTTTATTTAAAATAGCCTCAACAGTTAATATTCATACCACTTCATTAATAAAAAGCTAGACTTCTTTATGCAAATAATTTTGTATACGTTCAAAATGCCGCCGCCAAGTTCTGGAAAATTTATGTAAAAAAGCTTTAATTTGATCCCGACGAAAAATTAAGTGAATGTAAATCAACACTTGCAGCAAAAATAAAACCTTAGAAAAGAGCCCGTTTCATAAAAAAAAAAAAAACAAGAAAGTTCTATAAAAAGTTTGATTACATTACCAAGTTCTTTTCGTCGTAAAGGGCCAGGCAAACAAATTTTACATGCAGATTTTTTTTCTTGGTTAAGGATCCTTAAAAATCCCCCTTTTATGTTTGATAAGGTTTCGTTTTGGAAGTCTGAGTAGGTATTTTAAGGTTTCACAAAGAAAATTGAATTACCCAAGCAAAAAATTAGAAAAACAAATTCTTACCTGATTCTATCTGGCAAATCGATTTTCGTCTTCTTCTTGGAATGGGCACCGTGAACTGGAGACACGCTTGGTTCGGAACCCGAAGCTGGAGGCGAACTACTGCCAGAACTAGAGCAGGATAAGCTACCTGCTCTATGCCTGCCATCACCGATTGGTCCTATGGGACCAGTATTCGTTAACGAAGGCCTCGAATTTCGATTTCTGCGTTTTTTCTTTTTGTTGTTGTTATTATTGTTCATGGTGTCGATCTCTTCGATACGGCCGAAAATATTCGCGGTGGGCGGCGGAGGCATCCAATCTAAGTCTTTTTTAAGATGACCACGACCGCATCTGAAATAAGAGTTATTCAATGAACTAGGATATTCACGACGATAATTTCAGCACATCGGTCAAAACTAGAATCTTGGACTAAACCACTCACTAAATTGGAGGTTGTCATTTTGTGTCTATTAGTGATAATGGTATTGTAACACCACTCGTCTAATTCCGTAAGTAAATGGGCTAGAAGAGTTCTAGGCCAAAATCAGTCATTTTTACATGTGAATTTCCATAAGAAAATCGAAGGTGCATTCTGCGACATTTTGTACCATTTTGGAGTGGGAGTAAAATTTCCAGGAATAAGCCCCGCCCCCTTTCCAGTTTCCGTGTCTTTCATCGATAGCTGGTTAGTCGCCGCTGCTTCAGGGTCATTGACCGTACATGGCTCCGAGCGGCTCATCGAACCCACATAGCACCTCGTGACTTGGTTCCCCATTCAAGGTTCCTCGTACTGATGATGACGTAGCTAATAATAAAATCCGCCTCGTCCTCGTGCCAACTTTTAGGTAATGTAAATGGGGCCCGGATAACAAAGCGCCATAAATTGGGGGCCCGTAATACGGGTCAGTTCAGACCAGTCTCTAGACCTGTATAGCTGTATACAGACCTGTCTCGCTGAATATATACCTGTCTCTAGACCTGTTTAGCTGTATACGGACCTGTCTCTAGACCTGTCTAGCTGTATACAGACCTGTCTCTAGACCTGTTTAGCTGTATAAAGGCCTGTCTCTAGACCTGTATAGCTTTATACGTCTGTATACAAGTCACGAGATGCTATATGTGTTCGATGAGCCGCTCGGAGCCAGGTACAGTCAATGACCTTGAAGCAGCGGCGACTAACAAGCTATCGATGAAAGACACGGGCACTGGAGAGGGGGCGGGGTTTATTCCTGGAAATTTCACCCCCACTCCAAAATGGTTGGTACAAAATGTCGCAGAATGGACCTTAGATATTCTTATGGAGATTTACATGTGAAAATTACTGAATTTGGCCTAAAACTCCCCTAGCCCCTTTACTTCCGTATAAAAAATGTAGACAAAAGTATTTAGCAGTCGTACTCGTCACAAAAAGTATTGCACAATTTTAAAACCAGAATAAAAGTTCAAAAGTAAGTATCAATTTGTACCAGTATGTTGGTGAAGGTATGGGAATCAACCAATCCATCGTTTCTAGAATTTTAAGGTTTGCAGAAACTGGAGTCTAGAATAGAAGGCCAGTTCCACTAACCCTGTAGATGACAAGGAGGCCCCACACTAGAAGTGCCCAAACCCACATCCTAATGAGTAAAATAAGGATAACTGAGTCCATTATACCTGCCAAACTTAGAGATGCCTCCATAGTTACCATTTTTAAAAAGGGAGACAAGGCTCAATGTTGAATCTACACAGGATATCATTATTTGCTGTTGCGGGAAAGATACTTGCCAGGATATGATTAAACCGTTTAATCCCAACTGCCGGAGAGAACCTCCCAGAGAGACAATGTGGTTTTAGATGCAATTGAAGTACAGCTGACATGATTTTCATTTTTCAGTGCTAGACAAATGCAATAGAAATCTAGGGAACAAAATCGTTCTCTACATATGGCCTTCATAGATTTAGTGAAATCATTTGATTCGGTCGACGGAGAAGCTCTCTGGAAGATATTTGCAAAGGTTGGGTGTCCGCAAAAGTACAGGTACTACGGCACTACGCCTGCTGCATGATAATATAAATGCAACAGTCCTAAGCAAAGATGGACAAGAAGAGTCTTTCCTTTCCAAATAACTACCAGGCGCTAAACAGGGCTGTATTGTTGCACCCACTTTATTCTCTTTATTTATGGGATCCATATTTCACCTTTACCCCAGGGAAATTAGACCAAAAAAAGGGCCATCTGCGGAATGAGGCCGAATAAGCTGAATTATTGCAGAGACCTTCGTTTTGATGTTTCAATGAAGCACAAAAAAATCGAATAAGCCTACCCTTGTGCGTCTTGAGATATCGAAGGTGAAAGGTCAGGAAAATCTCGCTTCCAGTGCATCTGACGTCGAAGAACCCAAAACAAAACTTACGTAAAATAGTATTTTCTACAAAATTGTTCATAAACATTTTTTTTTGTACGACCCACCGTTTTCGAAATATAGCCTGATAAAGTGGGAGCGGGCATCAAAATAGGTGATACTATATTATACAGGATGTCCCCGTTCAACTGGTCAAAAATACTAGGTAGGAAGTAATTTGAGATAGGACACCGATAATCGGAAGTGCGTCGTTTCCAAAATACAGGATGTTGAGATTTAAACAACCCCCTTCCATATTATCTGAAGGGCTAATGCTAGGCTGTTCAAATTTCCAGGGATTATTGATGTAAAAATGATATTTAAAAATTCGTATAATGCACCCCCATTTTCTACCTGGAACCATCCAAAATAAATAAATAAAATTTGAAAAAAAAAAGCAATTTGTTTGAAGTTTTATTTTTTTTGGGGGTGGTCCAGGTAGAAAATGGGGGTGCATTATATGAATTTTTAAATATCATTCCTACATCAATAATTCCTGAAAATTTGAACAGCCTAGCATTAGCCCTCCAGATGATATGAAAGGGGGTTGTTGAAATTCCAACACCCTGTACGCACTTCCGACTATCGGTGTCCTATCTGAAATTACTTCTCTATGGTTCCTCTATATACCCTAGCATTTTTGACCAGATGAACGGGGACACCCTGTATAATACTTTATCACCTATTTTGGATGCGGGCTCCCGCTTTATCACGCTATATTTCGAAAACTGTTGGTCGTACAAAAAAATGTATATAAACAATTTTGTAGAAAATACTATTTACGTAAGTTTTGGGTTTTTCGACGTCGGCTACACTGGAAGCGAGATTTTCGCAAAAAAACCGATTTTCGTGACCTTTGACTTTCGATATCTCAAGACGCACAAGGGTAGGCATATTCGATTTTTTTGTGCTTTATAAGAACATCAAAGCGAAGGTCTCTGCAAAAATTCAGCTTGTTCGGCCTCATTCCGCAGAGAAAGTCTAATTTCCCTGGGGTACTTGTCCAGGGTCACCTGCCGTCAGGAGTGGAAATCCTGTACAGACTAGATGGCGGCTTATTGAACCTAGACATATTATGAGCAAAGTCGACATCGGTAATTAAACTTCAATATGCGGATGGTAATGTCGTGATGGCCAATATAGAGGGAAGATCTTCATGCAATTGTCAATGCATTCAGCCAAGCATACAGGAGAATCGGCCTACACGTCAACAAGGTGCAGATTCTGCACCAAGCCGCACCAGATACTAATCTCGAAGCCCTAAATATCACTATAAATGACCATTCTTTGCAAAACGTAGAACACTACCCATACCTTGGGAACCATCTGTCGAATACAACCATTGACGCAGAAATCCAACATAGCTTGAAGTATGCTAGAGCGGCGTTCGGGCGACTTCTAGAGAGAGTCTTCAACAATCACATCAGTGCTGGGACCAAAATTCATGTCTACGATGAAGTTGTAATGTCAACACTTACATATGGCTGCGAAACATGGACCACCACCTACAGAAGAAGCCTAGGAAGATAACACCAGCGATGCCTAAGAAGGATGCTACAGATTAGATGGCAAGACCGACGAAGGAACATTAGTGTTTTAGAGGAGGCCAAAGCAACTAGCATCATTAAGCTTCAACTTCGCTGTACACGTCACATCGTCCGCATGCCCAAAACACGTCTTCCACGACGGATTCTCTACAGTCAACTGAAAGAGGGAAAACGAAATCAAGGAGGTCAACAAAAACACTACAAAGGTGTTCTTGTAGCGTCGAGTAGTCCACGAAACCAGAAACTTTTTAAGAACACTGGGACCGCAGGAAGGACCAAGAGAACAGAGGAAGAGGCAACCAGAGACTGGGTGTGCCAAGGCTGTGGAAGAGTGTGCGGTTCCAGAATTGGCTTATTTAGCCATCAGAGAATGCGCAATCGACAACAATACGAATAGAATAGAAGATAATCATACTCGGTATCGAGTGATCGCTTATGATGATGAGATTACCGTTATTTACGTCTGGAAACTTTGCGTGCACACCATGTTACAGCCAGGCCAGGCAACTGCAAATAGTTCTTTTCAGAGTCCGTAATGTTCGAATTCGGGCGAATGGGGTAAAAACAGATTAAAGGAATTCAGAATAAGAGCCAGAATGCCTATTAGTGCTCCATTGTTAACCAGGACACACCGTGTAGTTTACAAGAGAAGATGTTGGGAAATTAACGACTGGTTTGATGTTCTTGTTACGGATGAGTCGAGATATACACTTTTTAGATCTGATAGACGTATCCCAGTTCACAGACGCGCAGGTAAGCGATTTTCTCAGTGTTACATGAAAGCATTTAACAATTTTGTAGATGGCTTGCCCACACGTTGGCAAAATAACAATGGAATATCTTGAAGAGGTTGGTATTCAAATTTTAGATTGGCCAGCAGTTAGTACAGATCTAAACCCAATTGAACATGTTGCCTAGAAGGGTGTATAACAACTCGTACCAGACGAGACCACATGAGTTAAAAAAATGTTTTAAGTAAAAAATGGGAAAATTTAGATTTGGAGTACATAAGGGCTGTGATAAGAAGCCTTCTACTGCTAAACTTTTTCTTGCATTTTTTTATTTTGTATTCTTTAATTATTGTTATTTTTATCATTTTTTCCTGTTATTCTTTGATTTTTCGTTTACATAAAACAAACCACTCTTATTCTTCTTGAGTTCATTACCTGCCATTTCCTAAAAGTTTTGGGAGATAATAATCCATTCATGCGATACTTTTTGTGACGATTACACCTACATCTACTAATCATTATTGTCCAACAGATATACTAGAATAATGTGCCATATACTGTCATGTTTCCACTTTACGGGTTGCGTGCACTGAAATCGTGTTCTAATCAGAGAAGAAGCAATATTATTTATTTTGTGTAAATACTCTATCGTAACTTATCAATAATACACGATCGACAAAAACAGTGACTTTTAAAGTAGTCTTTTTTTTTTTTTTTTTTTTTTTTTTTTTTTACGGATATGCGCACTCGCAAGGAAATGTCCTATCACGCTCGAGAAGCGGCGGAGTCTTAATTCAAGCAGGGCACATTATTTGTTTAAAAGCTCTAAGTAGGTACTTACTTGCATCCGCAGGCCTTATAAGCCAGATCGTATCCCTTTTTCGTCCACAAATTTTGATGACGTTGTCTTTCGGACCAGGAACGCGCACGACCACAAGTTTTGAGATAGGACAGAACAGTCTGTTCCCATTGGTCGAAACATTCGCGATGCATATATCTGCCTGTGGTACAGACTTCATTGGAGCATGTAACCTGCAGGGAGAAAAAATGATAAATTATAGAAAATTGTGCCAATTAAGAATCTTCATATGTATAATTTAAAGTGGGCTCATTAAGTTGAACAACAGTTAGGTACTTGAAAAAATAATTTCTTGTTGACGCTTTATAAGTATTTGTACATGGAATGTTTACGTTGAGGCAATTATTTCTAATTAATAGTTTCCGCCTTTTCGAATACATTTCTTACACATAAATAATATAAATACTGAAATAATAAAATAAACTGAGGATTAAACGACATAAATTACCTCAGAAATAATTCGAGAATTGATTATTTGATAAAAATGAAATGAGACATTCGAATTATGTAGGAATACATAAATATATGATAGAAGACTGATGGTATTTTACCCTGAGCTCAAACATATGTTGAAAAAAGGTTTCCCACTTTTATTATGAAACATCCTATAAAGTGGATAAAATAGATGAGGCTTCAAGTATTTACTAGAAGAAAAAGAAAAGTCAGTGATCATAACATATCCGGTTATTGAGATTGAGATTGAGATCATTCACATCATGTTCAGTGCGGATGGAAGCTGTAATTTTTTTTCAATGAACTTATTACCCGCAAAACGCGATTGAAAAGAAAATAATAAAGCTTGAGAAAGTGAGACAGTGAATGGGTAACTAAAACAAAAAAATAAATAAAAAGAGAGGGTTGGTCGGTGGCTGAAATCTAGAAACAGGACTTCGTGTGAAGGGTTGCCGACTAGCTTCCAATGCGGAGAGGGGTGTGGATCAATTAAATAATTAAATATAGAGCGCCACCTGCTTTTCCCTGCCAGTACACGAAGTCAACCGATATAACGAAAGCAGGAAACTTCTACGGACCTATAGCAGCACAACCTGAAATATAAAAGTAAACAAGAAGGAAGGGCAGAAGTGAAACGCTTTGCTACAATCAGGTACGGGTTTTTAATTAGAACCAGAACAGGTTTGACTCTAGAGTAGGTTCGGAGTGGGCTTTCCGAACGCCCTGGAACACTGAAAATTATTAACACTGGAACCAGAACAAGAACAAGAACAAAATAAATCGACTAGGAGTACCTAACCTTACGTTCTAAAATAGCTATTTTCCTAACGAGTGCGGGAAGAGAAATTTCCGGCACGAGGGTGCGAAACGCCCGAGTGCCGGAAATCTCTTCCCGCAAGAGTTAGGTACTATATTGTTTCTACGAGCATACTAAAGCTGATGTTACGAGGAGTTTAATTTAAATAAAATGCGATTGTGCAGAAGGTAGAATTAAAAATGTATTGAAAGGTATTTATAAAAAAAGGTAAAGGTATTGAAGGTAAATGTATAGGTGTATCAAATCAATACAAACAATTCCATGTCACAATGATTATTTCCAACTCTTCCCGCACTGAGTGCGGGAAGAAATCTCTTCCCGCACAGCAAATCGTGCGGGAAGAGCCATTTCCCGCACGCTCGTAGAAAAATAGTATTTAGAATAATTACACTCAACTTGAGTCCCTAAATAAAGCAAAGAGTATTGTATATCACTTATAACAGCAATACCTGGAATGTAAATTAATAGACAAGCTCACTAAACGCAGTACCTTCGTAAATGGCCATTTAACCCCAGTGTACAAGTATTTTCCTGTATTCAGTGCAGCATGTATTTATGGTAAAATCTGTTTTTTTTTTAAAGATAAAAGTTAAAATGACATTATGTTGGCAATGCAATGTAAAATTGTCAAGCTTCCAAATTTTTTATGTAGAAAAGAAGGCTTGTGTTGCCAACATAGTTACTAAATTTTTGACTTGGGGAATTATCTTTAAAAAAAAACAGACTTTATATTAGAGAGATATAGATCATTATTTAAAGTTGAAGTAACAATACGTAACCTGAAGGGCCCCAAAAATTTTTTTGCGTCGGGCCCCCCTGGGGCTAGGTCCGCCACTGGCTGTGGTAATTTATTCCAACAAGGGGTTGGTAAGGTTTGATAGGTTCCAGATATTGAGATAATACAACACACTTATCAAACCTGAGTAGTCCCTAATCCCTTGAGGCGAACCTGAAGGATTGGATTAATATCTTCCAGTTTTTCCGATGGCCTGGGACTGGATCAGGGCTGCAACAAGAGGCAACTTGCCCTGGGCACTGAAGTTCAGTAACTAGGAGTCACTAAAGCTTTCAATTGTCTAAAGGAGGCTGAAGATAGGAGGTACGACTTGAAATATACAGTAAGCTTAACGTTTAACTCGTTACTCAAAGTTAAGGACTAAAGCGTGACGACTAAATAACGACTGAAACAAATGGACGTTATGAGGCGTGGAGCGATAGGTAATGTCTGCCCAGCGACTCTGTGTCTACGGGGCAACAGCAAGGGGAATGCAGTTGTAAAAAAAAATGGCTGATTTCATTCATAAAATACCCAGTTGCGTGCGGAATTTTTTGGAAGTGTTATCGTATTGCAACTCCTACACGAAAATCGAAAATGACCACTGGATATTTCAATATAAATCGATATTCTAAGATGGGAGGGTACAATGACGGAAGCCCTGGCCAATAGCGAGACGTAAGGTAACGTTAGCCCATTGACAACGACATGGTTCCCCGTGGCAACGGCCATCCTGCCAAAAACTCCACCAATCAGGTTCATCCAGGCCGGATGCTTGCCAAATTGTCAAAAACTGATGGTATCTTTAGAAAATGTTTATTTTTTACAATGGACAAAATTGAAGAAATCAGTTATTAGAATAAGAATAGATCTAACAACCACGTTGAAATATTTAGCGTTTAATTGGTATCTATATTTTGTTATTAAAAAATGGATTTTCAAATGAACTATACTCCATGCCTGGTATTTTCGCTTTTTAATAATTAAACGTGACAACATGGCACATTTACGTCCGAATTCCTTCCGTAGACTCAGATCCGCTGGGCAAACAATAGGTATGTCCAATATTCGGAATTTAACCATATAATTACCAGAAAGCTATGCTTTTACATAGGCAATAGAGAAACACAGAGAAGACGAATAATAAAAACCACTTACCAAAATACTTTGGCCTTTAGGAACAAACGCGCGATCTATAGGCGAAACCTGAACAACTCAGAAATCGGCAAAATGTGCATGAGGAATTTTCCCGAACACTTGATCGTGGAAAGTCGTCTACCTGAATAACCTCTGCTTGTCCCTTCAATGTCCTTTAAAAAGGTTGTGTCAAAACTTCAAGATGAAGGGTTCTGGGAAATTTTAATGGTAGTTGGGCATGGGACTATTTTAAATTAAGTTGGTACCGGTCATTGACCTTATTTGGAGCGCTGTCAATCAAGTCAATCTAATCGAATCAGACAAGCAGCTGTTCTAATGTAAATATTGTGATTTTATTTATTAATAAATTAATTGACTATTTATTTTAATCTTACTAAAAGGAAATCAATTCCATTATTAAACTTCTAACTTGATGATTCTGCAAAGAATGAAAAGTTTGAAGAAAAGTGTGGCCACAATTATTGGAAAGAAAACAGTGGCTCGACGAAGGTATGCTGTTCAATGAGGCGAATACGCTTATTTCCTTTTATTTTGGCTTAGGAAAAATCATCCCGTAACAAACTGCTGGAATATATAAACTAAGAAACAAGGACACATACGTTTTTGCTGCAAACGTTAGGCAATTAATAAATTTGAGATTATCCTGGCAAACCATTTTTACCTATGACCTAGCATTACCATCTAGATCATCCGATTTGACATGTTTGAACGTTAATCTGTGGACTAGGTTGAACACCTCTAGCAAAAACAAATATAGTTGCTAGAATCAGAAATGCCATTCAAACTATTACTAAAATGACAATGATAAGTAGATAACAGAAATAAAAAATCAGCATTTCTACAACCACTTCAAAACTTACTCTACTCTACTTAAATATTTTCTTTTGTGTAGGTGAGGGAAGGTCCTAAACTGTTGTTTGTGCATTGTTAATATACTTACCTAGTTATAATCTCGGTAACAATTTACAACTGATGAAATTCATATTTTTAAGGGTATCAAGTAAAGGTATTTCAAGCGATAGGTATTACATACATGTATTTGAACTGGTTTTAAATACCTTCATTCTTCTTTCTCGTTTTATTCAATTGTCGGAGTAAATATCTGGCTCAAAGTGCGCTAAGGGTAGAAATTTTAAAGTTCTTTGTGAAGAATATTCCAAATGGCTGGATAAATCAAATTGCGTAATAGAAAAACCTGAATAAAAATAGAACATAGGCACTTGAAGAGTGTAATGCAGCATGTAAGGACAATAGAGTAGGTAGGTAGGTACCTATATGAATATAGGTTTCTAACAAAAAAGAAAAAAAAAACTTTTAATGTAGGTAGGTAAGTAAATGGATGGTTTTCGTCAAAACATGCAATTACAATAATTATTATTACATTATTTTTTAAAAGAACTCGAGTTATTTTGCAATGTAATTTAACAAAATAATGAGTTACAAAACAATTCAAGTCAACATTTTAAAATTTTGTTTTTCAACTTCCCCTTTGAGGAATCCATGCAATTAGCAATAAAATTCGAAATTTCACATTTCATGATTTATGTTTTACTTAGTTCAATTCACTACCATTCCAATTACTGATTTGCTAATTCTATTCTCGAATTAAAAATTTCATAATCTTTATGTAGGTAGGTATCTACTATCTACATATATTATTTAATAATAGATTTTATTTGTCTAGTGTGGGCTTTACATAGACAGAAAATAAAACCAAGTAAACATTATCAAACTCCTTGTTTACAGAAGAAATCCCTATAATAGACACGAAACACGCTATACAACAATTAACTATGACTTCGTGGGAATGAATACTTAAATAGAGAAATTAAAAAGATAAACAAAAAAAAAGCTTACTGCTTTACACCAAAAATAATAATTAAATATTATACACATAGCAGATAAAGAGGGTAAAATGAGCCTTATCAATAATGCAAAAAAACATGTTTAGGTGTGTTGTATTCGATAAT